TCTATTTTCTGCGGAAGCTGAGATCCTTCAACATGTGCAGCAAGATGCTGGAGATCTTCTACCAGTCTGTTGTGGCCAGTGCACTCTTCGTTGCTGGGGGGGGGGCAGCATCAGAGCCGGTGACACCAGCAGAATAAAAAAACTGATCAGGAAAGCTGGATCTGTCATCGGCATCAAGCTGGACCCCTTTGAAGCTGTGGTGGAGAGGAGGACACTGAACAGGCTGTGTTGTCCATCATGGATACCCCCCCACCCATCCTCTCCACCTGCAGCTGGACAGACAGGAGCTCCTTCTCCAACAGACTGCTGCAGCTCCGCTGTCACAAGGACCGATACAGGAACACATTCCTGCCCAGTGCAATAACACTGTACAATAAATCACCTCTGGCTGGAAGAGAACTCTCTGCTCCATAGCTTCTCTTGGAATAAAACCACATTGTACATTTTACATTTATATAATCTGTTCAATATTTAATATTAATATTCCATCCGTCATATATATATATATATATATATATATATATATATATATATATATATATAATACCTTGCTATGTTGTAATGTTAAATTCAACATGTATATTTTCTACTTTCTTGTTTATTTCTAGTCTTTGAAGTTGTATTGTACAATGCCTTGTCTTTTTATGCTGCTGCAAAAAACAAGCATTTCCCAAATTGGGATCAATAAAGTACCATCTTATCTTATGTTATCTTATGATTCAGGATTAAACTAAATGAACACCTATCACCTGTTTAAGAGCTTTAAAGCTACAATTAAACCTGTGTGTGTGTGTGCACCAGTGTATGTGTGTGTGCGTGTGTCATTGGTGCGTGTGTATATATATAAGCTTATATGTTGTGCTTGGAAGAGATACGGTAAGGTAAGCTGGTGTGGAGATGATGCTGCTGGACCGGAGAGAACGCGTTCAAGTGAAACAAGGGAAGTTATGCTCTCTGATAACTGAAGCGCTAGAGGAGGGCAGGAGATATACCAGAGTCTCTGAGAAAATTGAGCTTGTAAGACTTGGCACAGAGCCAGACCTTGAAACATCCCAACAGTCTGGCCTCCTTAGTCTTGTGGGTGGCACTCCTTTGCAAGCTGCCCTAATGAATACATTTATACTGCATTAATCATTAGTTAAGAACCTAGGAACAGTATTTTGTTGTAACCTGCCCGTCACCATATGACCTGCAAGGTTAGCAACTAGCTGCTGAACATAGTGGAGTGAGTAACAGTAGGATATTTCCCTAAGGAGCTGGTGAAGACCAAAGCTAAATGTACTAAATAAGACATTTCTACTTTATGTGATGGAATAAATCAATGAATGAAAGATGTTGGATTATTGTTCTATTTATGTACACAGTGAAATGTAGACTGTGTATTTAACTCAATCTAGGTTAGAAGCAGTGGGCTTCTGTTCTCACTAGGAAATACACCAGCCCATCACCACAAAGGGAATTCAAAATGGCAATGGTTATTGTCCTTTATTGTCATATGCGCAAAAGCTACACTGTTGTTGGCAATCAAAAAATGTAAGTCCCAGGCATAAAGACAGTATGAGAATAAAAAGTGTTAATAAGTATTAATAGATGTAAACATGTTCTGAAAGGAACCCCAAATAAATGGTGATGCTATTACTTTTATCTTTACAAAGCAAATTGCTGCCATATTATTGCGCTGAAAGCAGTACATAGAACCTCTGCTGGATAGAGTGGATAAAGAGTACAGAGCTACGTCAAGAGTGTCTCCCTGCTTCCAAAGTCCCTCATACTACGAACCTACTCAATGAATCATCCAAACAGTATAGCGCCAACATTTATAGAACATTCACATACCACCTTCTAACCAAGCCTCTTTTAACCATGTTCCATTATTCAGTAGCCTAGCTTTAGCTTGTATGCACAGTGCACTCGCCACTCCACAACTCAAACTGGATGTTAGTGTGTTAATAGCCCATCTGCTGTACAGGAGCGGCTCCTTAATGACCTGAGATAGCACTCAGGTCAACTGATGGACTGCGACAAGCACTTCTGCCTGATGGCGGACAAGTGCGGGAACAAAAACAGAAGCTCTCCCTACAGGGACTTCATCTAGCCTGACGGACAGGGCTGCATGCTCAAAAATGATGCACACTGACACTGGCCATTATTATGTAACAGCACAAGCGCCTTAAAGGGAATACTACTATATTTTAACACTGAGATATGCTATTTCTATGCTTTCAGAACGCTTAGTTAGTTTAGTCCCGTGTCAGTGCACATGTTAGAGTTTGTTCTGCCCTCTAAAGTCGGGTGTTAGTGCCGCAGAGACAAAACAACAACAAATTAAAGAGAGTGAAAATAATGACCAGACAGTGTTACTTTGAGCATTAGAACAAGTAGATCAGGACTGATATCACTACTCCAAAATAAGTGTTTAAAAAAACCGCTTAGTTTGCTGGCTTGGAAAGTCGATATGGGATGATGTCCTTGTTTGTGAACTAGCTGGTTGGTCGAGCTTCCTGGCTGATGCTGGGGTGATTTTTTGGTTTAACACCCCGGGGCAGGTGAAAAGTGGCAGCTGGCGACACATGGCAGACCATAGCATGTGAAGAATAAGCCAATCCAAACCGGGCACAAATGACAGATTACATTTTCGTGTTCGAGCTCATGCCATATTAAATATTGTATAGCTATTATGTATTTTGAACAAATGAACACATTAAAAAAAAAATTCCGCAAACTGAAAAACCACCTGTTTACGATGTAACAAGAGTCTAGCCATTTCAAACGAATGCACAGGCACTTACAATGGGTTGCCTTGTTAGAGGTTTGTATCTTAATAATTGATTGCGCTTATTGTAAGTTGATTTGGATAAAAGCTCAGCTAAATGTAATGTAATGTAACCAAGCACTTTCAGATATTGCATGCCTATTTACTTTCTTTGACAGATCATCAGTAACCTGAGAGTTAGTTTCAACTGATGGACAATGCCATCAGCTAGATCATTTCCCCTTTACTTTCTGTGATGAATGCAACACAGAAAAACCCTACACCTATACCATAATCACATGCTGATGTTTCATTTGGTTTATACAGGCAATTCAAACACTGCAGTTTACTGATAAAATACAGAAAGGTTCCAATATTTAAAGAGGAATACCAATGAATTTCTGCTCTCAAAGCCACCCCCCTTGTGTGATCACCCTATCTCTCATGATGATGAGAAACCTGAGTTCCATTGACAGAAGAGAAAAAAATAAATCACCATATTAACTAGATATGATGGTACATTTCAGACTGAGTCATTCCTACCTCCTGTGAACAGACTAAAGCCCAAATAAACAGATGGATAAATGAGTGAGCACGCACATGCATGCACTCAAACAGAAAGAAGGACGCGCGGAGCATTATTCATGCAGTGGGACACCCCCAAATGAATCCGTGTGTGTAAATGTCATCAGTAAATGTCAATAGCTTTTTGAGGCCTGTCCCGAGGACATGGAGCCCAGCATATGGACACATGGACCCACACCTACCTTCATTTCCTTCTACTTCATCTATTCTTAATCTGCTTTAAAGACCTCATCTGCTCGTGTGATGAATTAAACAACACATGAGTGGGGGTCTTTTGACAAGCAGGAAGTAGAAAAGAGGACAAATATGTTCACAAGATGATTGCCATCTACTGCAATAACAGACTAAAGGAAGATGTGATGGTGTACACTTTTTGTGGAAGAAGGGTGTACACACTTTATGTGGAAGAAGGTTATCAAACAAGTAATGATGGTAAAGGAACCGTGTTCTTAAAATGTGAGACATTAGGAGACAAACACACCGTTTCAGTCATCACACGTTTTCAGTGAGTTTTTGTTTATAAGAGCAGGGATACATTCTGATTCACTAACTGCAGCTTTAAAGTTCCCCTATTATACTGTTTTTCATCAATATATTATAGGTCTCAGATATATACAAAACATGTCTCTGAAGTGTTTGGCTCCAAATACCAAACAGATCACCCATTGTAGCATCCCATAATCCCATAGTTTCAAAAGTGCTGATTACTTTAGATGAAAATAAGGTGCCACTCCCCACACAAGATATTTGGTCAAGAAAACCCACAATAGGCGCGTTCACACCAAGTACTTTTCCCACAAAGGTTCCTGAGAACTCTTTAGTTCTCATGAACTAAGTACAGATCGCGTTCACACCGGAAATTAGTTCCTGGGGGTGGATTAGGCAAATGAAGCCGCTGACGTCACTTCTTCTTCTTCTTCTTCTTCTGCTGCTTCTGCTTTGGGTTTACTGGCAGGCCGCAAACAACTTTACGGCGTATACTGCCACCCAAAATCCCCGGCCGGAAGTCCCCGGAGTTAGGGACTGGCTTCAGTAGAAGCTGCTGGGAGTCCCAGTACTGAAGCCTTCCGAGTAAACGGCCAGAACGCCGACACCTCCTCATCTCCACCGCTCCCATGTTTTATTTTGTGTTGTCATAAGTTAGTCTCTCTGCGTTTCTGCGCTGGGCTAATGCTAATAATGCAATGCGAGGATAATAAAATGGCGGCTTCACAAAAGATTTTGGGAGTTTGACGGGGCGTGGTTTGCATTCCACCCAGCCAATCAGACACAGGAACCTTTTTCTCCCACGAAAGTCCCTTTCAGGTGATATGGTGGGGAGGGGGGGGTTACCTTGGTTGATGATTGGCTAATGGTTACACAAGCCAAAACATCGTTATGGCATCATAAAGTGGCCCAAATCTGATCAGCTCATTTTCAGACAGGTTTTTATATAAATGGATCAGGACAAAAAGAGAGAGAATCTTTTTTCTTGAAACTTTCAGAATCTCTTGACGCAGAGGGGACACATGTTGATGTGTAAAAGGCATGAAAAAGTGGATTTTGCATAATAGGTGACCTTTAACTAGTGTGAGATAAATACTAACGTAAGATGTGGCTAAAATAGCATCTGGGTGACTCAAGTGTTTATAGGTATATCTACATATCGTTGTGTTGTATTTACCTCGATGTAGGAAGTGAGCCTGGGGTAGACCCTGTAAGGTCCCACCACGTGAGACAGAGGGCTGCAGCAGGGGAAGCTGGTGGTCACAGCATGGCTCACTTCAGGCAGAGAGAACAGCTTGAAGCCATACTTCTCGTACAACTTCTGCAGTTCTTCATCCGGCTTCTCTTCACCCTCACACAGGACACTGCCCACCACGTAGCGACATTTCTCTGCTGGCCTCTGAGGGAACAGAGAGAGAGGATATATATATATATATATATATATATATATATATATATATATATATATTAAACAGCAACAAATCCACTGAAAACCCTACAGAGAGTGACCTCACACCAGCAGAAACTCATTTATTTACAACCACACAGCAAGGTTACGCCCTCTGTTGGAGAAGAAATGTAACATTTTTGACATAGTTTTTTAGTAGGTAGTAGGGTATAAATACAGTGAGATCCATGGACTGCGTAGAAAACACAAAGCAATGTTACAAAAGAGCAAATGTGATGACATGAAAGTGAGAATTTATATTTGTCTATATTTGAATAATAAAGCATGCACAGACCACCAATTTGCTACCTATTCCTTTATAAGACATGATTATTAAAAACAATAGTTCTTAAAGAGAAGATGGGAGCCAAGAGAAAGAGAGCTTGAGAGGATGTAACATGTGTGTCACTGGTGCGGTTAGTGCTGTATCAGCAACAAAACTGCACCTGTACGGCAGTAAAAATAGAAGTAGTTTGATTTAAACCTGCGGGGACATTGTTCCCTCTCATAGTTTTACAGTAAGTGTCACTGACCGATGGATAACAGCCCTGGTAAACATCCCTCTCCAAATATCCAACAGCCAGGTCACATACTGTATGGGGCAGTTCAAATTGGATCTGAGCTGCAAAGCCTGCAGGTCAGATGTGCCAGAAAAGGCAACCTATCTTTGTAACTATTAAAAATATGAACTGTTTTATATTTTTGTATTTTACCAGAGTCAAATGTATTTTACATGCAAAGGATTTGTGGATTTCAATTAACAAGTGTTCCTTCCCAACACACATAACGGTTTTCTTGCCTACAGATATCTTGGAATGAAGAATTATTGATACATTAGAGATCCAGCTTCAAATCAGCCTCTCCGGTGGGGAGGATTGTTTGTTTTGCCTCAGGAAGCTAAATATAAGCTGACATGGAGGTTTGGTCTCCTTCACTACAAAACGTCTCTGCTACTGTATTGTCTCTTACTGTGCCCACATGTCTGCATGCAGAAGTGAGGGAGACAGAATTACAATCGCTGAGCTAGTTGTCAGTCAGACGGAGATCTGTCGTAGAATCTCCCACTCACATGTTTGCAGACAGTTTGTCAGTCTGTAGAGCTTCAGATGGAGGAATTGATATTTGCAGGTTTTTGTCAGTTAACAAAAAATCCCCTAGGTAGACTTAATATTTTTCACCCACCATTTTTTAGATCTTCCCACAGTATTTGATATCTCTCTAAGAACACTCCGTATATTTCTTCTGTAAAGTTAAATCGCAATTGTGAACCATTGGTGGCCTGGAACGCAGGATTAACAACATTTATATTAAATATGAAAACATTAACAGCCCTAATAAGCTTTTTTGAGAGTGCTGCTGGTTTCTGCTCTGTGACAGTGGCCGTCTGTGGAGGGCTGGCACTGAGGGGGGCACAGATGGGAGTCAGCAACACTCATCGTGTCTCTGGCGTCCTCACACAATTATCACATCTAACCGCCCCACAACCTTCTCTTCCATCTCATTTGTCACATCAGGGGTTATTTTTGACTTCATTTTGCTGCTACTACACTGCACTCTTTCCACTGTCCTACTTTGATTGTACAGCAGCCTTTGTGCCATAATTCAGTGTTGCTCAGGCTGCCAGTGAGACTCCCGGGCTGAGATAAATCAATTTGATCATCCCACCCCAACCCTCAGTGTCTCTTAATGTCTGCATCATGTGGGTAATAATATTGACTGACAGTGCCTGTTGAGCATGAGCAGATAATCTTTACCGTCACCTGACAGAGACCGTTGCCACCATGTTCAACAGTGAGTCAGAGAACACAGATCACCTGCTTCTGACAGGGAGTTATTCATTCAAGGCAAGCTGTGATACACTAGATCTATTTACAATGAAGCAATGAGTCATTGAACATACAGGCAGTCACAGTGGCTGTGTTAAATAAGACATTACAGCCATGTGACAATCAAGGTATCTATTTCAAGGCCTGGTCAAAATATATTGAGGAACATTTAAAAAACACATGATAGTAGAGTTAACCTTTTGTAAAAGATAACACCTGATTCAAGAAAATAATTATTGATATCTCAGCTATTAGGGCCGGGAAATGTCTTGAATCAAATAGATCGGTAGATACTTTATTTATCCCAAATTGGGAAACGATTTTGTTCCAGCAGCAGTGCCAAGCATTACACAAGTTAAACATGTTTAAAAGATACAATAAAATATAATAGAAAATAAAATTACCTTAGAGGCAAGTATTTAGTAAGAATACAAATTTAAAATTGTTAATTGACACTAGCAGCAAGTAATTACAAATTCACAATATAAAAGACATTGGATTGAATAAACATTACAATTGTGCAAATATTAATATATATAAATATACAAATTAATATAATTATAATTCATAAGAGCCAATAGCATGTTTCTGGCGCTGCAAATCATACTTTTTAGTGACTTGGGAACTAGGGTCTAAGATTAGCTACTATATTGAGGTTCTTGTCCCTAAAACTTCCCTCTCAAGGGTCACCGCCGGGAGGCTACTCTGCGATGTGCAAAGAACTATTGCAATGGAGGTGGCAGTGCTGTAGGCAAAATGTAATGTTTCTAATAGTCTATGTTTCTAATTAGGGGTGCACCGAATGGGAAATTCTTGGCCGAAACCGATACCGAAAATAGGAAACAGTTGGCCGAAAACCGAATGCCGAAAGGCCGAAAATGATTAATAGAAATATATATATATATATATATATATAATGTATACATTTGTTACCAATGTTGTTCAGCTACCTGATTATGGAAATAGACATGATTATGGCAAAACTTAACTTAAATAATAATCACTATTATGGGTCCATAAAACATTTATTCAGCACTTTTGAATGCATACAGTTTTCTCTGTAGGATAACTACAACAAAGTGCATTCAGAACAAAGCCAAGGGGCTTTAAAACTGCATAAACATCTAGGCCAGTAGGCCTACAACAAAATAGTGTAAATAAAGACTGTAACAGCCAGGCCTTCAACAACAACAAATGCACCTATAAGTGCATGCATACAAATGTGCAAACTGGATAAATCCACATGAATGTAACTATAGTATTTACAAATGAAATTACAATTGAATTTCAAGAATCTGTAAATAAGGCCTCATAAACAAAGTAGTAAACATTGTATAAAGATACATAAAGTGAAAACTGGATACAAAATCCACAATCAATTACAAATTAAATTACAATTTCAAGAATCTGCAAATAAGGTGGTCTGTCCTCATGAGCAATGTAAACAACATTGTATCATTTAGATACCGAAAGTACAATATATTGAACACTGTGCTGCTGTCATTTCCCCCTAATGATAACCTGAGATGGTGAATTATAACTCACAATGAAAATTGTTCAGGAAAGTGGGTATAGAGTAGACATGTAGAACTAGATAAGCTTATGATAAGCCTATGATAAGCCAGCCTTGTCTACTTATTAAGGAAAAGTGGGAGGTTATTTTTAATGAACAGTAGCTTCTCTGCTTTATCAGCCATAAGTCTGTTCCTCTTCTCATCAAGCACATGAGAGGCAGCGCTGAACAGTCTCTCGCTGTCAGTGCTTGTGCATGGAGCACTCAAATACTTGCGTGCCACCTTGGCCAGGTCAGGAAAGCGGTGAAAGCGGTGTGCGCTGGTGATTTCATCATACTCCGCATATTTGTCCGGGTGTTTAGATTTCAAGTGGTGGAGTAATCCCGAAGTGCTGAAAGTCTTTGCAGTTACACCCCCTCGAGAAATGTCAGCTGAACACGTTTTGCAAATCGCAATCCGCGCCTCTTTCTCTGATATTGTGAAGTATCTCCAAGCGGCAGACATGTTGGCATGGTCGCCGCGTCTTTATTACGTCATCACAACAACACGTTAGGTTACCAACGTAAGCCTGTTCTGACATTCGGTGATATTTTTTCGGTGCTAAAACCCTTTCGGCCTAAAGCCGAAAGGGCCTTTTTAACCATTTTCGGTGGCCGAATATTCGGTGCATCCCTATTTCTAATTACCTGGAAAACTAATGAAATCCCCATTATCCTCATCTGTACTTCATGTTTCGTGCCGATTAGCAAATATTACCATCTTAAAACGCTAACCTTAGCCCGCACACATTAGCATTTAGCTCAAATCTCTGTCCTTTAAATAGTGTCTTACAAATTCTTGTTCTGACATCTATACTCATTGTTATATGTCAAATGTAGGCAAAAACCATATACATATCCATGTCTCATCTAAATGGATTTATGTGCTGGAGTTGGACTCCTCTTTCCCACATGGACACATTAGATGTATAGGCTGTCAACCAGCCTCCTGTACAGAGTTACTCTGTGTCAACACTGGTGGTCTATGATAAGACGCAACCATAACCATTCAAACACAGAGGGGATAACAACTGTCCTCCCACGGTGATGCTTCAGTATCTTCCTGTCTCTCATGCTCTCCGCACTGATAGACTGCAGCCAAACCAGTAGTTCACTAATGATATCATTCAGGGCTCTAGCCATCACTCACATCCCACACAGTGGCAAGCACAAACAGCCGCTCTGACTGCATCTCATCTCTGTTTCCCTCCAAATAACACACCCCAGAGAATACAGGCAATTAGGAACGAGAGGAACACCAATCCATGTACTTGACTCGTCGTGTCTTCCACACCAGTTGTTTTGTTTATGAACAAAAGAATAGATTTTCTGTCTCTGTCCACTTTAAAAGTCAGCTGCTGCCCAAGCTGTGTTTTGGGAGACAGTGTGTGATTCTATATTTCTCAGGGAGCTGATGAAATCCAACTGTAGGTTTTGATGGACCGGGGACAGAAGCAGAGAGTGGGATATTGGGAAGACTGAAGGTTTTACCTCGGTAACTGAACACTGACATATTAAGTATCTGTACCAAGTGTTATGGAAATAATTATCATAAGACGCCAATTTGTAACATACAGGACAAACCTCGATGTCTGTTTACCTTCTTTAAGGACACAGGCGGCTTAGCCAATAATGTTATTGTTCCCATTCTGTGACCGGTCAATACTGGGATACAGATGGTCTGTGTTGTGGACTCCAAGGTAAAATCTTCGAGGTCATAAGTGTCCGAGGCAAGTAGCTCTGTGTTCCCACACTGTTTAGGCTATCTCCTCAAATATGTTGTTTACTCTCTGCGAAACCAGTTAGATGGGCTGGCAAGAGAGAGGCTCTCCAGAATTGACGTGGCAACTCTACCGTGGAGTCAGAACCTCTGACTCTTGGATTTGTGATGTGAATACTCTGGTACCAACTCCAAATAAATCACAGTGGTTTGACATCAAAGCTCCGACTCTTCCCGTGTCTCCTTCCTGAGTCGTCCACTGCATGCTACACAGAAGTTTCCTCTACACCAAGCTGCAGAAAACCAATGCAGCTACCAGCGAATTCTAAACTCCACTGAAGTGAAATAAAGCCATTAGCAAGATTTACACAAATGTTGTATTTTCTTCGGAATATGTTTCTGCAGATTTCATGTGCAGCAAACATTCATTTATTTTATTTCCCAATGCATAGCAAGCTCATTAAATCAGTAAAAAGAGATGAATTCAGCCAACTTTTCTAGAACCCATGGCCCACAGGACGCTAAGATGTCTTCTTCTCACAATTGGTGCCATTCCCATCTCTATTGGATTCCCCTAAGCCAGGTCTCTAAGGACCTGTTGGGAAAGAAAGTCATTTCAAAAGCAATTCTTAGCTTGAGGCTACAAGGGCCTTTCTTTTGATGGATGAGGGTACTCCAACAATAAAAAGGTATGGCTGACAGAGGTCATTATTTATTAGCAGACACATAATGAGGATTTACTCCCGTAATCTTGGCCCTGCATGTCTTTGCTTCTGGCCATCACCACTTGGGAATCATTGATTTGTGTTGGAGTGCCGGCCGCGTCCACAAATCGTCATTTCTGAAGCGTTTGCAGATTGGGGAGGACGGGGATGAACAAGGAAAGCAGCCACGACTCTGTAGTAACTGTAAAGACAGGATCATAATGAGTGTGTATACTCTGCCTGACAGAGGCAAGGTCCATCACCATGCTCATTAAAACACAACTGCCAAGTGACTGATCAACAAATGCAAAGCTAAATTAGCAAAGTGGGGGCGATTAAAAATAGAAAAAGCAAAACATTAGCTCCCTCTTTAAACAAAGCCCATAACCTACGTGACAGCAACTGCAGCACTGCTGGGAGGCAGGACACAAGTACTTCAAATGAATAAACACATTTATCTTAATTCACTTTTTACAGGCTGTATGCTGCATTGACACATTCAATTAAACAACTACAAAGTATCTTTGAATTTAAAACATTGTGAGCATAACATCACATGCTCTTGTTGGCAAACTGGGTTTACCATTATGCCAGAATGGAGAGGCTTGAACAAGGGTCCTTCACTGCACTGTGGTCAATACATCTGCACATTTGGAGCCTTCTACTTCATCTTCACATCAATGTCTGCAGTGAAGCATGACAAGCAGCAAATGCAGCATTCATGAAGAACACATCAAGTTAGCAAAGGGCACATAATGACCCTAAAACGATTTCATCCACAGTCCAAATGCATCAGATACATTTATCTCACAAACAATACACATCACTGCCTTTAGTGAAGAGCTCTCTGTCTGTTTAGCACTACACAGTATAATTGTCTTTCTGTATCTGGAGCACGGAGACAGATGGTGTTTAGGGCATTTCCGTGAACAAGCAAAGAACCTGAGACACGTGGAAGAGCAGAAGACTAAGAAAAGCAGATCCGTCTTTCGTCTCAGTGTTCAGAGCGATAGCGTGTCTCAGCTGACTGGAAGCCGAGAGACAAAGTCACCAGGAGGGAAATTGAAACTAATAGGGCTGCACAGCACTGGGACCACAGGTATGCTGTGATGGGCTGATTATAGCTGAAATAATGGAGCCAAAATTGCAGTGGAGCAAGAATGCTAACCAAAACAAATGCTGTTAGCAAATTGGATTATGCAAAATCCACTTATTCATGTCTTTTATACATACATTTTTTGGGTAACCATTAGCCAATAACCAACCAAGGTAACACCTTATCACTGAATAAAGTCACTGTTATTTTGTACATTTTGGTCTTAATATGTGCACATGCAAAAATGTGTCTTTGACTGTGTGTATACATATATATATATATATATATATATATATATATATATATATATATATATATATATACATACATACATATTTGCATACATATTTTTATGTACATTTGTTTTTATATTCGAGATTGTGGGAAACAGTATTTCGATCTCCGTCTGTACACACAAATTGGAAGATTGACAATAAAGTTGACTTTGACTTGACCTGAATCTCCTCCTAGAGCAACATGATAAATATCTCTCAGAGGGGCGTGGGGAGTGGCACCTTATTTCATCTAAAGTAACAGAATCAGCACTTTTGAAACAGAGGGGTTTATGGGATGCTACAGTGCACGCAGGGTCGGCTCTAGAACAACTTGAATGGGGGGGCAATCATTTACCAAGGGGGGGCACACACTGCCGTCAACAACCAACACACAAACACCAACGCAACTTCAATTTAAAAAAACATGCTGTAAAGTCTATTGTCTTTCACACACATTGCAGGGTGTAGTGCTATTGTATAGCGCACCTATGACTTGTGCATACATGCACGGTTGTGGCACGACCACCAAAACAGAAACATATAAGGACAGAGGGTGTCGTTTTCTCATACTGATATTCTGCACAAACTGTGCTGTTGTATTTGCTGTAAAGTGTCTTTACTGTAGGTTATTTTTTATTATATGTACAGCACTTTGGCTCGACCAAAAATCGTTGAAAAATGTGCTATATAAATAAAACTTGATTTGATTTGATATGGACATAGGCCATCATATAAAAAGTGTGCAAATGTATTTAGTATCCTATCCATGTGAACATGTTTTAGGTGGGGGTGGACCTAACCTCCTCTAGGAGGGTCTGGGGGCATGCTCCCCCGGGAAGATTATTTTTAAAATATTGAAGTTAAATGCATCAATCTGGTGCACTTTGAGAGCAAAGTGAAGAGATCTATGAATAGCCTACATCTCTCAGCATCCATATGAAACAGAACTGTTTACAGATTTACTTTTTCTTTATGGATATTTTACTAATCACTCCCCTTTTAAACTGTATTCTTGTGTTACTGTCCTATAGTATTTCGTACCCGTTTTTCATTTATTCTCTCTTTAATAACTATAATGATCATATAAAGGTATTCCTCGAAAATACTTACATAAATTGTGACCAAACCGTTTGAGACCCACTGAGATAACTTACACTAAAGTGAACTATCTAAACACTGAGAGTCCTTACCTCACTGAGCTGACGTTATAAGATCCTCTCAGTCTGACAGGAGAGGACTCTCCTCCACCTTGGTGTAGAAACAGCCCTTTATATCCGTTAGCATAGCTAGCTAACCAGATGCTAACCACAACATTCCACGTTACCGCTCGCGCACTCACAAAATGCGCTCGTGCCACACACACACAGAGCTTGAATGAAACACAGAGACCCATGTACTTGTACTGTACTGTATATCATATTATTTTCGATGGCTTTACTGTATAATCAGTATAACAGATGAACAGATCGCCACTGGGCTCTCATCTAAACACTCAGCCACGTAATGATAACAAAAAAAAGGTCGGGGGTCATTGGTCAAGCAACACACCAATCAGAGAGCAGCAGTGAGCACACCTCAGGCTGTGTTTTATATTTGTATAATTTATTTCTGATGTATTTCACACAAAAAACCTTTAGTGGAAACGTTTTCACTTAGCCTATATGATAAAAAAAAGAAAAAATCGGCAAAGTGACAAGGCTTGCCCACCCTGCGTTGGGGGGGCACAGTGACTCATTTGGGGGGGCATGGCCCGCGAATGACCCCCCATGACGCCGACCCTGAGTGCACGCACTATCTGTTTGGTATTTGGAGCCAAACACTTGGCTTGTTTGAGACATGTTTTGTATATATCTGAGACCTATAATATATTGATGAAAAACAGTATAATAGGGGACCTTTAAGGGTTACAAAGAAAGAAAACAACCATCTCATTGAATTAAATAAAATAAAAAGCCATTTAAATTAGGGCCGGGACTTTAACGCGTTAATTAATTACACAAAAATTAACGCGTTAAAAAAATTAACGCATTTTAATCGCACTTATTTTTGCACCGCGGAACGTTTCTCACTGGATGAGTTTCAGGCGTACCGATTATACTGGAGCACCAACTAACGTTCATGACTTCAGACAACAACAAACCACAGTGAACAACAGTGGGAAATGTTGTTTTAAAAAACGGACGGATGGAAGCGTCGATAAGAGCACGGTTGTGTGCAAATTATGCAAAAAGGAATTCGCATATCACCGCAGCACATCAAGCCTCAAGTATCACCCCAATGCAAAACATATAGCAGCTAGCGTGGAAGCTAGCGTGGACGTTAGCCTCTTTTATCGCGTTCACACCAAAAAGAGCCGGTACTAAAATTAGTTAATGAGAACCTTTTTACCCCCACGAAAGTCCCTGCTAGAGAGCAGAGAGCTGCTAGAGAGCAGGGACTTTCGCACGGCTCTCTTGTGAGAAAAGAGCTATATTTCTGATTGGCTGGGCGGATTGCAAACCACGCCCCGTAAAACTCCCAAAAAGTTTTGTGAATTTTATTATCCTCGCATTAGCATTATTAGCATTAGCCCAGCGCAGAAACGCAGAGAGACTAATTTGTGGCAACACAAAATAAAACATGGGAGCGGTGGAGATGAGGAGGTGTCGGCGTTCTGGCGATTTACTCGGAAGGCTGCTGGGACCATAGATATAAACACTAGATGGCTCATGGGAGATTTTCCAGCGTAGCTGACCGGCCGCCATCTTGCTACAGTCAACAGTTACTCTGATTCGCGTTATGGTAGCTGTTGTAAGGTGAGTGATCTGCACAAAAATACTCTTAAATCGCTGAAATCTTGACTGATTTACAAACGGTTTGGTTTATTATAAACATTATTAGCATGGCTATGATACAGGATGCTTGGACATGTTGAAATTGCAGCTTTTCTTTGTGTATGTGGTTGTATTTATTAGCTGGCTAATAACAAGAGGCTGTGAGTGAGACCTAGTATTACAAAGTTGACCCAGCAACTTTACACCAGTGGGAGAGGCAGAACTGCTCTTTCTTTTCAACATAACTTAAGTTACACATGATTTCTTCCAAGTGGTTTGGCTTGTTAAAAACATATTGCATTATGATACAGGAATTTGCTGGCTTTGTATTTACAGAAGTACCTGACTATGCCGGACTTTTGTGCAGCCTACGGATGCTCTAATCACCGCAGGCTGCAAACAAGAACCCGTGGGATCACCTTTCACGTGTAAGATATGACAATATTATGACTAAAATTAGGATAATCGTTAATTACTTAGTGGATGTATGTACATTACAAGTCCTGCTACACAGGATCAGTGGGGCTATGTGAGATAATAGTATTGCAAGATTGTTGTTGACCCAGCCTCTTTAGAATATGTTGTTACCATTTCTTTACACAATTATTGAATGTTTCTTTTGGACACCTTTTTTATTACTCTTAGTGTGGTTGTCTTATTCTTAAAGTAGGCTATACATACATGCATACATACCAAAAATATGATAATTTCGGTGTGTATTTTTGTCCTTACCCTTAATGTTAAAGGAAAGAAGGGAGGAAAATGTTGACAATAATTTATATATCTGGCTACCTTTCTCATGTTTTTAAGGTTTCCCAAAACCGAAGAGAGGAGGAGGCAGTGGGAACTCGCCCTAAGAAGGGACATCTTCAGGTTCCATGAGACGCAGCACTATGTTCCCCACATATGTTTATGTTTGCTCAGTCTAATAAACCCATAACATGGTTGTGAAAGAATACCAAAGCTGAGGCTGGACGATGATTGATTGTTGGTGTGCCATGTGCCACCGTGTGTCTTATTGGTTTTGTGTTATACTGTATTTTATTGTGTGCAGCTGGTCCTTATCTCCAAGACACATTTAAAACAAATAACCTTGAACCTTGAAGCCCCATCTCTCCCCACCTGCTCCTGCTTCCTACATCCCCTCCACACCAAGTTGTTCTTCTTAATAATAATAATAATAATAATAATACATTTATTTTGGGGGGCCGCCTTTCATAACACCCAAGGACACCTTACAGGGGCAATATAGGGAACAATTCAAACAGTGGATTTTGTGATATATCAGCCGGGGTGAGACAAGACAAACCACAAATGGACTACAGAAGGACACATGGTACAGTTTATATTATTCTTGGTCTTTTTTCAATAACATATTTCAAAGGTTCTGGATTTGTTTACAAATCTAGAAACTAAATACAAAACTAGGATGATATGAAGATCTCATGTAAAAAATGATTGTGATAAATTAGACAGCACTGGCCTGTCTGTGAGCACATTTTATGTTGGTTTGGTTCTTCTGATAAAGGTGTGAATATCTAAATAATATACCAACATATGCTATTGTCATTAGTTGTGTCCCTGTTCTTCAAGCTAAGGCATTGCTAAATTAACAACTCTTGGCTTACAGAGTGGTAACATGAGACCGATTTTTATATATAAAATATAAATGTATTTTAATTTTATAATTTATTTTAAATATTAACAATAAAATAAAAGGAAATATATACACTGGCAAATATTTAATATAAATACCTTGTGTGTGTGTGTGTGTATAGCTATTGCTTTATCTGATTAATGTTATTTTCATATGAAAGTCCATGATTCTAAGTATGCAGTATCATAACTACATCTTTGATGTTTATAAAAAACCAAACCGTTTGAAAATTGGTTGAAAATTGAGTAAGCTATGGTTATTTAAATAGTAAACCATAATGTTATGAATGAGAGAACTGCTTGTAGCAAGATGGCGGCCAAGTGGCAACGTCGGTCTCCATTGGCCAGCAGCGCGGGTGAGTCATCTAGTGTTTATATATATCTATGGCTGGGACTCCCAGCAGCTTCTACTGAAGCCAGTCCCCAACTCCGGGGACTTCCGGCCGGGGACTTTGGGCGGCAGTATACGCCGTGAAGTGGTTTGCGGCCTGCCAGTAAACCCAAAGCAGAAGAAGAAGAAGTGACGTCAGCGGCTTCATTTGCCTAATCCACCCCAGGTTCAAAGAGTTCTCATGAACCTTTGTGGGAAAAGTACTGCGGTGTGAATGCGCCTAATGGTATACTAAAATCCATGTGAAAAAAATTGCTTCTCACTGTTCTCAGGTCAAATATTTATATGTGATTAAAAATGCGATTAATTTCGATTAATTAATTACAAAGCCTCTAATTAATTAGATTAATTTTTTTAATCGAGTCCCGGCCCTAATTTAAAATATGTCACTGCTTGTTATAATTCAATAAAATAAAATAAAGACTACGGCTTCCTTTGGAAAGGGGGGGTGGGGGTGGGGGCCTCAAGCACACAAATCAGATGATGTTTCCACTGCAGTGGTGAGGAGTGGGCCCTTGAGTCAGGAGCCAATGTACTTTTTGTTGGTCCCTCTCTCTTTCACCAAGCGCAGCTCTGTGCCTTAAGGCTGTTCTCGGGCTTAGCTGGTAATTACACATGGCATCCTGGGAGCTCTGGCATGTATAATTACTGGCGTGGATAAGCAGCCTGCTGGAGGCATGACTCGGTCTTCCTTCGCCACAGTCGTCGAGTTGGTTCACCACTCGTCGGCGGCCAGCTGGATATAGTGTGGCACTCCTCCAGCCAGATGTCACAGAGCAGGCAGATCATCTTCTCTAATAGGAGATTTGGATGATATCCTCCTTCTTCTGCATAGGTTTACGTCCTCTCCTAAAATGTTCAACTCTGTTTCTCCACAGCTCCGATAAATATTGGCCTGTGTTATCCAATATCTTGCGCATCATAACATGGGGTGAAAAGCCAATACATGTCGCAGGATTGATGGCACAGAGGGTTTAAAGGCATTCTTCTGACTATATTTCACTGACTAATCGTTGCATGTCAGCTTGTAGAGTAATGTCTTCCTTTCTACACAGTGGAAACAGATCAAAATGGATTCTCACTCAACAGTTGTTTTAGGGGATACAAAAAAAAAGCCAATTCCTGTTTTATAGATTCTGTCTGCATTTCTCCCCTCTGGTTTTGCAGTATCTCACTCAGTGTAGAGATGTCCATAAACATTAATGGGGTGCTTTACGAGCAGGCATGTCAACGGTGTTGCATAATATTGACTTGAAGACCTGTGGGACCAGACTTTAGAGTATCAGCGTATTTATTTCTCATTTTATATCCACCTAATACATTTGACTGGGAGTGCTGCGATGCATGGAGCTCTGATCTGAAATTCCGATTGATGAATTGGAAGCTCTCAAGGTGAGCCAGTCTCCTGCCAATTTATACCGCTCTTCCAAGGCAGCTCCACACCTCGCCTCATCTCTCACTGCCACTCCCATGTACGTCTCTACACATGACATTTCATTTTCTCCCGCTTGTCATGGGGAGCCACTTGTGGGTTTGTTTCAGAAGCTCAAATAAAGAGGGAATTCATGAGATCAGAGGATGAACCAAAGTGCAGCTCTGGTGTAGCCTCCAAACAAACACATCATGTTCTCAGCATCAGATGCAGACAGCAATAATGGTTACATAAATGACCTTTCCAGATATTTACACCACCTACTTATTCTATCAAGGTAATGGAATTAGATGTATCATTGGATGCCTTACTCTGTGGTAGTTTATTGTTAAAGACACACACACTGGCCTCTGAGCATACGGTGCCGTCCACTCTTATTAATGCATTTTGCTCAGGAGCGTCCTTTCAGGCAGCCTCTTGATGTTTCACTCTTTACCAATCTACGACAGAGCAAAGGCCTACAACACAGGAATTCAATGATTTAGTCCGTCCTTTATCTACGCTATGACTTGTTCACTTAAAGTATTTTTACTACACAACTCTGCCTTGAGTGGTTTGGTGAGTTTGAAGTGTAACCCTCAGTGTTGTGGGTCAGTGTCCGGCTAACTGACCCCTGAGAGCCAAGCGGCTAATCTGTTGAATCCCTCAGGCATTTGTGATAATAAGTCTTGGCGATTATAAGCATACATGCAAACACACACATGTATGAATAGACATAAGAGCAACTAAATATAGTGCTAATTGGTGTCGCCTCAGCCGAGTGAGGTGATGACAACCTCCCAGCTGTACCAGTGCAGAACATTGAAATAAAACACACGTCCATGTCTGACTTGTCAAACATAGTTAAGCCTCTTTGACAGAGCATGCTCTTTTCACATCCAGTGATAGTTTTAATCTGTTTTTAAAGTTTTTGTTAGATTTGAAATATGCCCCTTAAACGTGGATTATATTAAATGTTTTATGCAAGGTTAATTTCCCATTTCTGCAATTTCACTGAAATACTGAATTAATTATGAGAGACTGAGCCTCATTACTTCTGCCATGGAATTAAATGAAGTATAAAGATCAATGTGGTTTTGAAGACGCACCTTCCTCTCACTCAACTTAATGCCAACAGTGCCATCTAGAGTCTGAACTGCGCATTACAAAAACAGGCTTAACATTTGCTGAAAAAATACTCAAACTAACCAATTTAGATGAGCCTTGCTCGTGGATTTAATGGAGGAATAAAGTTAGTTTTAGTGGTTTATAAATACTTCTCTGTAACTTCTCAAATGTATTAAACAGACAGTACCATTTTAAGTAATCTTATTATGGCTATGTATCTCCGTGCTTCAGCTGAGAGACCCTATATCATCAATAGAGAATTTAAACCAGCCTGCTCTCCACAATGCATGGGATATTCCATTTATTGCACAACAATTCACATTATCATTCAACCCGGCCCTAACAACTGTGGATAGACACACAAAACCTTTGAAGAATTAAAGGCACAGTAGCATAGGAGAGTTAATTTAAAGGCCACCTTAAGTATTGAGGACAAATATAAACACAGTAAGTTGCAAATTACGCTGTAAATTATGCAAAGGAAAGTTGACCTACTAAACCCATTAATGTTCTCAGTATTCACATTTGATCAAAATGATATCTAATTTAGCCTCTCTCTCATTGAGTGTATTCGTGTGGCGAGTAATGAGACCCTTGGTCTTTGTAAACAAAGAAGGTCATCCCATTCCCATGTCAGGACACTACTATTGACAACAGCAAACATGAAATCCTTTCTTTTCATTATTAAACATGTAGAAATGTTTGTCTTAGCGGCTATCTGAGACAAAGCTTTGTTTGACCATTTAAAACCAGGGCTCCTTAACTTTGAATCACTTCAGCTAATGACAATATGTTGATACTTAATTTATTTCGGTGATGTCTAAACTCCCCAAGGAATTTAGAGATCCATACATGTTGAGATTATCTCAAAATGGATACAGACCCCATCATCAGATCCATACAGAATCATCCTATAATGGTCTCCTATAATCTAGACTCTCCACACAACCTGAATGCAGAACATAATTAAGCTTCCTGCAGGAACTTTCCACTGGTCTGACTCACAGTCATGGTTTCCACTAAAAGCCTTTAATTATAAAAGGACTGCTGGCTACAGAAAACCTGGCAGGGGTAAGCAGAAAGACAAACACTAAGTGCTGCCAGTGTGGCACCTTCTTTAATCCACAAATGATCAAATGAAAGCAGTAACCACAAGACACAATTGAGCTAAAAATACTCACTAACTTTGGTCTGTGCCCCCTGTCAACTACTCAGACTAAGTTACTTTGCACGTTTGGCTGATGAGCAAATAGCTGCTATGTTGCCACATTCATGTCAAACGGCTCAACCCACCAAACTACAAAAAAAAACTCAGCACTCAAATGTCACCAGAATGGACACAATACAAGCTAAGATAAGAGCAAACCTGATTTACTATAAATAGGCTGTTTTGCCTTTGTGAATTTGTATCTGATGTACTCTACCCGCATCAGTTGGGAGTCCAATAAACACTCCTGTCTAACAAGCAGCTGTTGTGCAGACATTTCTTGTTTACTAAAAACACAAGACGTGATTCAAGAGAAAAAGAAAGTATGAGACAAATCAGCCATGGAAATCCTCAATCATTCCACATTAGTTTTGGATTAGGGTCAGCTTCGGAGTGACTCAGGGAGATCCATTGATTTTGGTGTCTGGCTTGTGACTTAACTTTATAACCATTCAGACTAAACTTAAAAAGTGTAAAGACAGGTGTATAAGCTCTCTCCAGACATGTGAAGACGCTGTGTTTGCATTCCTAGTTTCAAGTCTGGTTACCATTTTTGAGTCAGAGGACGAAAAAAAGACTGAAGCACCCTGGAGCCACATATGTGAAGGGAAAAAGTATCAACAGTGCAACGTGGCATGGATCAGCTGACTGGTTTCATCATCCAGGCTCACTTCTTTAAAAAAGGGTGCTTGTACATTTAACTCCTGCAGCCATACATGCTGAGTTACAGTGAATTACATTAAGTCATGATGCACATTATACTTCCGTGTCAAATCTCCAGGACATCCAGACAGGACCATTTCTAATGAGATAGACGATTTCATTATTCATTCATCTGAACAAAATGTAAACCTTATGACACTTTTAGAGATTAATAGATAAATTGGTGGACAGAAGGTTCAAAAGCAACCATTTTGATAACGCCTTTAAAGCAAAGAAAACAAGTGCTGGTTCTAACTTTGTAAATATGACAATTTGATGTTTTTCTTTGTCACATATAAAACATGGGAAATAAATCCGGGTGTTGGACTATTGGCTAATTAAATAAGCTATTTAAGGATGCTAAGTTGGCCTCTGGGATTCAAGCCCCATTTACATTACAGAGTCAAATCTCAGGGACTTTAGGCCAGGTCAGTTCCTGAGTATACTAAACAATCTCAACTCTTACATAATATCCAACCATTTCTGTGACATTTAAGACTGGGCAGGTCAAGTGAGGCATATCTCATTGACTCCAACATCTTATCAGGAAACAAGGTACACAGTGCTTTGTGGTTATGTCATGAGGTCAAGTGTAAACCACAGATAAGGTGCTGTGGTGTAAGACTACAGGGGCTGGGGTCTCACCTGTTTTGGGTCATCGTAGAAGACCCCCACGGTGCTCAGCTTCGGCCCAATGCTGCAGCACTCGGTGTAGGCTGCACCGCAGTCCTTGTATGATCCCTCGTTGAACTTATAAGCAATAGTAACATTTTTGACAGGAGGTGGCCCAGTCTTTATAATCACATCACACAGTAGTCCGGAGTAAACGATTAAGGCACCAATTGTCCCAATCAAACACACCAGGAGCACGACTAACAGGACCACCAGAATGAAATCAGACATCGTCTCTTCTCAAAGCCGTACAGCTGCAGCCGGGCAATTAGCACGAATATCTTCTCCTCCCGGGTACAAACACCGAGACTGGAGTCCAGTAGCTTCAAACAATAACTCAAGAACTGTGGCTACAAAAGAGACTGTGTTAAATGTGTGTTTCTAGGACACAATAACCGAAAACGAAAGGGGTAAATGCGTTCAAGTTGACAAGAAAGACTGTTTGTTTATGGTATTTCCCCAAAACACTGAACATGCTTCCCGGATATACTATTCACGTTTACAGAGAGGGGTGACGTAAATGTATTTTGTTGAACGATTATTTTCTACGGATAAATTATACTTGAGAAATATATCGACATAATATTAAATAGATATAATCATTAGACATCACTTTTTTCGTTTAATTTAAAATTAAGTTATTGACCATAGAACACACATTCATGCATACAATCCCCCCTTTTCACAACCATGGGTTGACCCAAGAGCTGTGCAGAAAGCTGATAGAGTGCTTGTTAAAGTGATCTTCTGTGTTTTCAGTCAAATATGTAGTTCTTTCACTGATTCCCATGCAGGATGTTGGTGCTATCAATGCTAATTTTAGGGTATATAGTTTGGAGGTTTTGTTCAACCAGTATTGTAAAGTCCTGCTCACATGAAGTTCACCAAACTATGTAATAATAACATAATATGAATCGAAATACAAAGATTTTTTGGGGGAAATCAAGTTCATTTCATTGTATGTGTTGATATTTGGAAGAACCAAACATTTAACAAAAATCAGTGGGGGGATGTCAACCATCAAGGTTGGATACTCAACCTGAATAATGCAAAAACTCCAAAAGAATACAGTTCCTGAAGAGTTTATAGGAACATGTTGATTTCTAAATGTTGACTTTAGTGTCTAGATAGCTTGAACTAGAACATGTTAATGATGCTTTATGGTGATTTTTTCCCTTAAACACCGAAAAAGATAACTTGCTTGATGATGCCATCTCCTTTGTGTAGGTCATATGGGGGACAGATGGAATTGAGTATTGCCAGCTGCATTTGGGATTTAAGGTTATAAAAACAGAATATCCATATTAAGAACTATGTTATATGTTGTATTTTTGTTTTTCCTGCCGAACATTCTTAACATTATTAAACTGTAAAAGCAATCTCTTCTACAAATATTAACCAGGATACTGAAAGCAGAACGGATACTCCTTAAAAGCTTGTTGTGTAAAGACTACTTGAGCTAAATATTTTTTCTGTAATATATTTTCTTTGTTTCAAATGTCTGGGTAAAAGATTCTATATAATATGGTATATTCTATTGTTACGTTTGTTTTTGTAAATCCTGGCTTTGGTGTTCAAAAAGTCTAAATCGTCACAAAAACCTTGTTTTTACATGTGCACAAATTAGTGCAAGACATCTTGCCTTTCATTACAATTTGAGTTTATCAATGCTGAGCCTCTTTATGGGATAATCCAGGAACAATGTCGGTGTTTTATTCAGAGAAAATGTAGTTATAAAAAAAGAAAAAAAAACACACACAATGATAGACAACAGATTCTAGATGTTTTAGCATTAGAAATAGATTTAATACTTAAAGACATAACAGACAGAAACACTTTTGCAACAATCTGTATTTTATTTTGTCGGCAAACAATTAGAATCAAACATTTAAACAATTTTCAAGAACCCTATCTAATAGGAAAACACCTAATTATTAGGCATAAAACGAAAAACGGCAAATACACATCAATGCAACTCACAAAGCAATGTTTTTGTATGTTGCCTAACACTGTCGTAACTACTTTAGTAAAAACACATGAATTGTGATTTTATATTGACATTATTGGTCTTTAACCTGCACATTGCCCATTGAGTAACAGTTTTACATACTTTAGAAAGTGTTTATGTAAAAAGGCACTAGAACTGGCCTTTGAAACTTCAAAAGTTGGTAGATAAATGGAAGTTTCATGCCAAACTTTGAAATAAAAACCAACAGTTGATTGCTCTGTTAGTCAGAGTCATCTGTAATATCATCTTGATCCACATCTTCCGTTCTGTGGACCTTCGTACTTTCCTCAGAGTCCATCTCCTGGGCCTGTCAGAAAGCACATGAGAAACATTTGGCAAACATTTCAAGCAGGGAGTCTCCCTGTATGCCTGTCTGTATTTAAGTGAACATGTATATGCAGGGGTGGTTCTAGGGGGGGGGGCAACAGGGGCCAGTGCCCCCGTAACACTGACCAGGGACCCCCCTGTGGCCCCCCTCCAAAAAAAAGGTAACAATATTACGATCTATTGGAGCTAAATCAAATCAGAGACCCGGATGTACAGTGGAGATTAAACTGTTCATTACCTTATATAAAAGCAAATACTGTTTATGTTTTTTTAATTAAATTGTAACTTAAAGTTACTGAAACAAATACTTTAAATGAAAAAACTACTGAAACAAAGGACTGTAGCTTACATTTACTAAAACAAATACCTTTACAAAAACACATTCCAATTACTGTATTTTAAGTTTATTTTACACAATTACTTTATACTGTCTTTGTCTTTTATTGTGCCCCTCTCATGAAATAACTGGCCCCAACAGTAAAATTGGTCTAGAACCGCCACTGTGTATATGCATGTCCTTTGCATCTTCTCAAGAACCGTTTCTGATCAGCTTCCCACTTGGCTGGTGTATGGCAGGGGATCTATAAGTGATGATGTAGTGCATTTTGGCCTGTAACAACAACATTGTTTTCCTGTATTGTGCAGAATCTCTGTCTGTCCATATGTATGACCTGCCTTCACATATTTAGAGAACCGGTCAAGCAATAGACTTCCTGTTTGGCAGTGCCATACCTCAGTACTCAATACCTGCTTGCATATAGCAGCGTTAGAGATAAACTACATAACACAGGGTCTTAGAACTGACATCATATCAAATGTTTCCTAGTCACAAGCTTGCTTAAAGCTCCAACAATTTATCTTATCAGCCTTCTTTCAACTGCCTGTTTACTGACCTGTATGGGTTCACCTTCACAAAGTAATGACCGACTCAGCAGCAGTGGAGCCTGTTGTTTGGCTAGCTTATATAACTGACTGTATTATGACTGTGTGCTGCTTATCCCTTCAAATAAAACCTGTATTATGGTCCCCACGCCTGCTAATCCTTTCAGCCACTTTACGCTTACTTACACTTTATTTTAACTGGGTGTTTATTTACATCTATTGTTCGGGTTTATTAAAAGGTTTTATTCATTTGCCCCTGATTTATTAATTTGTTTAAGGTAAACTCTCTGATCCTATTCTATGGCTCTAATCTCCAAAATTCCCTCCAGGCTGTTTTGAAACACACCACTGTGAATACTAATTATAATATAAATAATGCAACAAAAAAATACCTTTGTAATTTACACCTGTGTTCTCTGTAGTTTTTACATCAAATGTTAAAGAATAAAACATTTTATTTCTCCTTTATTTCTCAAAATTAGGGAGACAATCCCCTTTCTGTATCAGATGTGAATGTAAAGCCTGGAAATGGCAGGTACCTCATCCTCTGACTGCTCCTGAGGCGGTGGTGGCTCTTCTTCGTCCTCATCCTCACTTCCTTGGGACCGCTGAGAAAGAATCTCTTCACCCTGCAGCATATAGCGTTGCTTTAGGCAATTTAATTTAATACATTTAAGAGAGAAAAATAATAAAAATTCAAATGTTGTACCTTCAGGTTTCGATTTTTCAGGTTGCCAATCCAAAATGCCTCCTGACAGTTGTTGAGAGTCAGCATGGCCTTCACTCTGTAAACAAACAGCTCCAGGCTCTTCTTCAAGGCTGGTACGTGATTGGTCAGGCTTGTATCCTGGTTCATCTGAGCAGCAACACATAATGACAATACTACTTAGTTAAAGAACACCAAAGGAGTTACATGCACAGGCTGTCACTTTAATACAAAAGGAATATGTTGTCCTTAAAGATTGGTAAATTTGGCATCAGTACATTCAGAGATATGTCCAGTTAAAGAGTTAGAAATGAAGAGGCTAGAGACAGTGTGTTCTGTAGCTACCTTAGAGTGTCCACACATGTGATGCAGCTGCCGGGTGCTGAGCTGAAAGGTTTTCAGCAGGCCCTGGACATCCTCCTTCAAAAGAAAAACATGAATCACACATTCATCCCACTGGCAACACTTCCTTTGGCATGGGTTTTTCACAACACAGAATGTTTATTTCTGAGCTTAGCCATGCTCTAGTGCCAACCCATGTTTGAATCAAGGCTGAAACCAATGATTATTCTCATTATGGATTATCATTTCATCTATAAAATAAAATAATAATAAAACATGTGCAGATCAGTTCTTAAGCCCAAGATGATGTATTCAAATCACTTGTTTTGTCAGTCCAAAGCTAAGAGCTATTCAGTTGAATATAGAAAACTGTAGGAATTTAAGAGGTTTAGTTAATGGTTCATCGATTATAGAAAGGTTTGTGATTATTTTTCTGACAATTAACTACTTGTTGTTACACTTATATTATAAAAGAATCAACTTGTTCAGGGAAAAGCATGGAAATCCTGTGTATGTATATACATTTTTTCTTGCTTTGTGTCTTAGTATTTTAATATAATATATAAAAAATATTTGGCTTGCATTAAATCAGGATCAGGGAAAACTCACTTAAGTCAAGAATGCTGTAGTTGTGTGTTGTTTGCAGAAGTTAATGACATCAAAGTAAATTACTTAAAATCACTTTCACAGTTTTTTAAGGCAATATTTATGCACAATTTCAATTTTTTAACATTTACCTTAATAAGGCATATACTACTTGTCATGCGTACCATGTGCCTTTTGAAGCTGTTATCAAGAAGTGGCATTCCAAGCCTCAGGAAAGACTCCAGGAAAAGGCGGCCATACTACAAAAACATTATAATCAGTTAATACAAATTCATTTCATTTCATTTCAAACCTTTATTTACCCAGGTGTATCCCATTGAGATCATTGATCTCTTTTTCAAGGGAGACCTGCTCAAGTAGGTTCCACATGAAACATAAAAACATAAACAGAACAACAAAAAGGACATCTTACAGCATCATTACAGGGATTACAATTTACAATAACTATCTTGTAAAGCGCTTTGAGCATCTGGAAAAGCGCTATAATAAATGTAAGGAATTATTATTAATTATTATTATTATCCACATGAGCAGGTACCAACAGCTTCCGATTGAGTAGCATCCAACCGAGCTTTAAAAACATTTAGTGGCACCAGATTG